ACATAACTAATAATTAGTGCCATGCCTGTGCATAGTAGATGGATTGGTTCATTCAGAAATATATGTATTTTTTACACAATATTTGTAATTAATAATGTTAAGATAACGCGTTGTGAGAGCGCTAGGCCGGTTGCCATAGCGACGATGCTACGTGAACGCATTCATACAATATACATTCTTTCTCCGCGTTTTTTGTATGTGATTTGTATAAGATAATACCTTATTTGTCTTCAGTTGGCGTACTTACCTATTCGCTATTTAAATGACAAGTACACTGCGCACGCACACATCACGTTACGCAGTCATTTCAACTACATTGTATCGCAAAATACAGATTTTTTTTATTTGAGAGGATATATAACAATTCCCGATGTTTCCTTTAGAAACTTGGATATATATATACACAAAATTATACTTATTCAAAGAAAACATCTCTTGCAAAATATGCGACTATTAGTCGGACAGTTAAGTTCTCATATATCAGGTGATTGAACAGATGGCGTTACACACACGACCATCTTGGACATGTCTTCGAGTGATTTACTAGTAGTTTGTCTGATTATATTTCCAGTTAAAAGAGTAATATCAAAACAAACTTTGGATAAGTCATTTTTGAATCATATTCCATGTATGTATATATGTATAATATTCACCAACATGTAATCATATATACATATCTCATTTATGCATTTATGAATGGAAAACATCCATTGACCAGAGGACATTTCAGTATAGATGGGTAACCCTGTAGAATAACTTATCATCCCATATTAGAAACTCGGCATCATTAAGCATGTTTCTACAGACGGCCCAATGAAAATTACTTTATTGTATTTTGGCCTACCCTCTTTAAATAAAGTGTTAAATAAAAAATAAAATAAAATTACAACATGATGAACCCGAACGAATTTGAGACAACCTTTTTATTACAACAAACAATGTTTGACCCGTCTTGTGTACGGAAAGTGATTCTGAAACTATATATATTACTATCCGTGTTGTGAAATGATCAGTATGATATATTGTACAAGTCCATAAAATCTTGTATAACAGATTTAACTATCGTAAATGACACTCCAATAATGTAAAATTATAGGTGGATTGTTTGTTGTTGTCATGCAATGCTCTAAATTAATATAATTAATCGATGTATGAATATCTTATTCGCAACTGGTCCCGAGATCTCGTTGGGAGCGAGACATGTTTTTGCATATGCTGATACTAATATTATCGTTACATGGATCAGTTCATCTGTAAACGTGACATATATAGTTTTGGTTCTGCTATTGTGAAAGTTAAGTTCTTTTGTAAGTATTAGGTTTGTGCATTTTTGCACATGCCCGAAAGCAAGCATCAATTCACCTTATAATTCTGTTTAGAATCATCTCTGAATCTTTTGTTCTTTTTTGCAAATGTATGAGATGGCAACCTGTACACTGCAGCGTATTTGGCAGTGGTAGTACGCATGAGTGTTGTCAAATGCGCTGCGTGATAAATTTTCACTAAGCGTCGACTTAATACTCACTCTTAACGACATAATCATTCACATTGCTGCCTCCAATGACGTTGTCGAGTGAAAATATTAGACAATATTCACTCTAGCTTCAGTAAAGTTAACTAATTATTAAAAAGGTCATACGCAGCATATAGGCAATATTATTCAATTACACATCCGATGGGATCGAAACCATTTTCATACGCGTGGGGCAAAGTCTGATTAATTTGCACTTTGACATACATGAAACGAAACCTTTAGTCGCCGGATTTGATTAAAAAAAAAGAAAATATACTTTAAATTTCTTTTATCAACTCATGTTGCTGTGAGTAGAGTGGGGGAGGGGTGCCACTTATTGCACAATGCTAACCTAAGCTACTTTTTTCACCGATGAGCGAAGTGAAACGTAATAATAGGGAAGTCGTTGCTCGCCGATGGTGCTTCTTAATATTTCACAATTCATCCATGTTTGTCGTACATAATGGGGATTAACTGGTTTTCGAATAATTTATCCATGTAACTTGACAGAAATATATAACTCACTAAATTAGCGAATTCACAATATGTATATTGACGAGATAAATACATTTATCTATTATAAATCTGCGGTTTTATCTATTTTTTTAATTATACCCTGAAACGACGAAGTGAACATATCATTCACTCGTTTCGTTACATGTGTTTATACACGCGTTACCGCAATATTACATTACATATAAGTGCTGTTAGCGACTTCCACGTGAGAAACCATTAGTTAGTTGTTATGACTAAAGTAGTGCTGTTGGTCTGTCCCTTGTTTAATTGTTACTTGATATTAATCCAACGTTGATGTTTGACAACCTTGTTTCAGAACAATGAGGTAGCTCTTCTTGAAAGCGAAGAGGAAATTGACCCAGAGCCTAACAATGAGATTACCGCATTCGAGGGGGCAGTTTTACGACAAGACTTGGAGGATGCTTTTTTGCCTAACCCCGATGAAACGTACCTGGCCCCAGGTGAGAAAGTACGCGAAGTCGTCGAATGGGGAGACGGGAACTTAGAAGTTCTTGACGACAGAAGTGACTATGTATACCGTCCACAACTTCCAATTCAAAACAGCGTTCATACGCTAAGGGACGATCGCAACATCCTAATGTCGGACGCAATGTTAGTACCACAACGGGACGTCCACGACAGCAGTTCTTATACAGACCATGTCGTCAACGCAAATACGGCCAAAATTGCTGCTGGCGCCGTGCTCAAGATGATGACGAGGGACTGTGTTATCGGAGATAAGTGTGGAGATAACAGAGGATGTTGTATCGACCACAGATGTGTCGGATACTCGGCTGGAGGATCAGGTAAAGTAATTATTCATTGATTTGATAGCTAATTATGCCAAAATTATCCCTAAATATGTTTTGTGTGTGCACGTATTATTTGCCAAGTCACAACAAGTTGGTAGTTAGATGTTACACTAAAAACCACTTGTCTAAAAAAATATAGTATGTCTGAATGACGAGATTCAATACTGTTGGATAACGGAAAATACACATAATTCCTCTTATCGTATAATTTCTTCTCCTGCTTTACTCAGGTGTGTGCCTACCACGGTGTAAGTCCGTGACGGAGGGAGGTAGCTGTTCCAGCTGTCCCTGCGAGTCAGGCTTGGAGTGTGCCGTAGTGAGTGTAAATCCATACCAACAGATCTGTAAAAAACCTCCAACTATAGGTAAGTCACACTATACTGACCGTGGTGAGCGAATTTAATATGAACAAGACGTGGAGACCAGAAAGATAGTGAGAGAGAGAGCGTGACATTTTCTTGACGTTTATAAATGTTACTAACTACTAAATATGTTGAACATTAAATTCACTACGAATTGAATTCTTTGTTCATTCGGGAAGATATCACTTATATTCAACTTCGTGATGAACTTGCCACTTTTAACAGTCTAGTGTGTTCACACGTACGTGCTGGTCTTATGTGGTGGATCATATCATCGATAGGTTCAGTATACCATTGGGAATTTTAATAGTTGTATCAGAAATCTACACAATTGCACTATATCCATGTCCAAGACGCTTGAGACTATACTAACGTATGTTAAAAACAAATTACATATTTCAAGGATTTTTCAAATCAGCCATTATATTGCCCTTATCAAAAACAAAACAAAACACATCACCCCTATCATGATTTTCACCGCATGAAATTAACATCAATCATCTGCCGTATACTTGCTTAATTGAACTATGACGCTACTTAAGTTCTTCTGCAGTCAGGATATATAGAGTGTTGGTATTGCAAAAAGCACTTCTGTGATGACGTCTGAAACGACAAAAAACAAAACAAAATGAGCCATTTCTCACCTAAATAACATTTCCTCCGGAACAATTCAATTGTGCAAGTGTATGCTGCAAACAAACCGAGACAGTTTGTCCATACGCACACTTTGATCCAATTGCAAATGACTGGGAAATTCAAATATTTTAGTTTTTATTATGACATTTCCCTCTTTTCATACTGTGCACTTCATAATCCAATAGACCCTGCCACATGCCTAAAATGTTATAAACATCATCATCTTCTTGAATACAATATCGTTGATCAGTATTGATGTGCACATGGTATCAAATAATTGATATCAACTAATTGGTTTCAAATAATTGAGTTTAGTGTTTATTTAGTTACAAACACTCCAAATCCAATGTCGCTAGCAAATCACTCCCGCGACTACAACCGTATGGTCATAGTCGAAATATAATGAAATAGAAAGTAAGATCGATTATTGATTGTGATATTTATCATCTCTATAAATAGAGCGATAACGGATAGTTTATCAGTCACCATGTTTTGATAACAAGTATGTAGCTGTGGGAAAGTTTAAATGATTATATCTAGCCTTAAAGAATACGTTAGTGAACATTTTGCATTGAACATATTCTGTATCATATTTCTTACTATTGAAAGTTGCTTAAAACAAATTTGTCAGACCTAACGTAATGACCAAACCATATACTGCAAAAAGCGTTTCAATAAGCGTATGGGAAACGCGAGGGCTTTCTGTGGATTGCAATTACACAGACACTACCTGCCCCACGTCTCGTGCCTTTAATGCCATCATCATTTTTGTCTTATTTCTAGGCCGACATTGCATACATTACGGCCTCTGCATACATTGTTAAAAGGCCAAACTATATTAGTGTTCAATATAACGATTGAAACTGCGCTGCTTCTTTTGATTAAACACGGCAAATTGTGTTTTGTGAAGAGATAGCGTGGTTGCATAGTACGCACTGCAATGTGGTAGTGGTATTGATATTTCTATGCGCGGGGGCGTCGTTAGAGAGTTTGTACTCTGCCGTTTCTTTGCCAATTAAGTCTGTTTAATAACTCATTTTTGTTGACCATGGCGATGAGATGGAAACTGCTTTTCATCTCCCTCAGTAATGAATATTTTGCATAATTAAATTAATATATTTCATCTCGTATCATGATTTACCGCCATCTCTTCTTTTCAACCATCGCAAGTGTACGTATGCCGACTTGCAAAGAGCTTGGATGCTGGAAAAATGCACCGGGATACGATATTTATTAGTATGATCCAGTAAGTTCAATCTAATGGTGAGGGTGGGCATACTGATGGTGTCTTAGAACGAAACAGAGCGACACAAATATATACATGCTATGTCCATACGTAAAATTCCTAGTCACATGACTCGCGTATTTTCACTGTTGCTTCCAAATTAATTTGTTTGTTTTCTTTAAAGGATTGCCATGTTCGGATAATAATCAATGTAACCCTGGTGAGTGTTGCCTAATGGGTAGAAGAGGTGACGACACTATCGCAAGATGTCAGTCAGGGCTATCAGCTTTTCAGAGCTGTCCGCAAGGGCACCCACATCCATTCATGAACGTTTTTATCGGTATGTTATACATTTATCTTTTATGTACACAATGCTTAAGTATATCACATGTATATAACACTAACAATGGATAACCAATCGAAAGAAAGCTTCCAAGACTCATTGAAATCAAATCGAGGAGTTCGACTTTTCTATATGCACCATGTAATCACTCAATTGTTTTAAATTCTGCAAACAAAGAATTTCGAAGCTTATCGAAACAAGCTGTCGTCATTTAGGAATTGATTATGTAAAATTTGATTATTGTCTTTGCCAGGAAAATACGGACGTTTGTCAATTTATATTCTACAAATGTTTTGAAAAATGATTTATCAATCACCAAGTGTTATTTTGCATTCCATACATGGGAATTCGAATCCATATCCACAATAACCATGCTGTTATGGGGATATGGCAAAGTAGTTAAGGTTGTCAATAGTATTACGGAACACATAATTAACATACACATTTGTCTTTCATCAGGTGCATGTCCATGTGATCATCACAGCGGTTTACTCTGTATAGAGGGGATATGTGATTGGAGAGTTTGACTGGACCTCTATTAGGACGAGTTATGTCAAGCGAATCGAAAATATTTGTGAACAGCAAACTATACCTGCGTTTGACTTTAGTTCCCTACCACATCTATTTATTTATTTATTGTCCTATCCGTCTTCACAAAACTCTATAAGACGTGCCGTCATTCAAAACAGTTTTTAGCTGTATTTGTAGCCGTTCTTCAAGTTGCTTGCACAACATTGCATACGAAATCGAGATGAAATTCAGTATAAGAAAAAAACTAAAGTAGGTCGAGTCATAATTTCAATGCAAGAATCCAAGACAATGAACTGGACATTTTACCACATTCGTTTTTTTTCAGGGGCGTCATACACGTTCCGTTCTTATCTATAACGTATTGAACATATTTCAAAATTACTCGTGCGTCTCTAATTGTAGTTATTTAGAAATTATATTCATTTTTTTGGCAAACCATACTGCCATCCACTGACTGAATTTAGTCTAGTGTTGACATATAGTTTTCATTCACACTGGGCTGAAATAAAGCGAAGAATTCTTCTTTTCAAAATAAGCAGGCGTTTTCTTTACATCTTTCACATTACAATTAATAGTCCGGATACTCGAAACGGAAGCATATATTGTCAATAGGTTAAGGCGTATCATGAATTGATATATATGACATTTTGAGTTGGACCACGAATTCCATCATTTCATACACGAGATGTGTATCTATATGATGTGTTAGAAAAATACCCAAATACACGATACAATGTTATGTCGATCAAAGTAAAGATGTGAGTGGCTATACACGAGGCTCGCCTATGGCATTACATTTTGTAGCTGCACGGCAAGTCCGACACTGACGTGTAGAGACCGTGAAATACTCCCACGTCGATCAAAATCACACATTTATGCAAGAACCATCCGTTCCAAAGAGTTTTATACATATGCAAAAGCGTGTTTAACGGCCGTGTCAATCCGATTTTTAATATTATGTTTCCATCACCCAGGACTACTTGTTATAAATACAGTTTTGAAATTTCAGAACTGTTAGCAGGCAACTAATTAAGCGTAAGCACACATTTAATTGCTTACGTCTAATGCTGTCGCTAAATTAAACTGAAATTAGTGAAGCAATAACTGATAACCCGGAGTAATTATATCAGTTATTCCCATAGTCGACCATTCGCGGAACTTACAGACATTCAGGACCTTGTTTTCCGCACAAAATTCATCCGTAAACATTATGACGAGTGGGTGAAAAACGTGTGGTATGATACACTTGATTCACTCCAATTATTTATTTGTCCTTTACGAATACGACGTGCACAACACGGGTAAAATATACTGTTTGTTTACATGAGCTCCTAACTTGCGTTGCGTGGCGACAGGGGTGGTTCCCCAGGATGCCTGACGTTATTATTCCTGTCAATTCTCAGCAGAAACACCGAGTCAAGCGTTAGAACATGTATATATGACCTCAGAATACATTATTTATACCTAATTTCATTACATGCCCGAATGTTGCACGTATCCTTGTGGAGAATTCCAGATCGTTTGTCATATTTAATTGTCTGGAACCAGTATTTATGTAACTATTTTATAATATTACACGATTTGACTTGCACGTCAGACTAAATTGCATACTGACAATCTGTTCACAATCTCTCAGCGTATAACATTTGTTTAACTATCCTGCTCATGGCGATTGCGTCACCACACAATTATTTTCGGGATTAATGTTCTAAACTCTAGTTGTGATACGTTTTAGTATACGAAATTGTTTGCTTTTCTGATTTTACAATTATAACAGTTGGTAGAATAGTGGACACAATATTATACACGATTGCACAACAAAAGTACATCTGAACCTGAACAATCATATTCTACTGGTTATCTTGGTATATATGAACTCAGATGAACTCTACATTGCACAGTGGTCAACAATTCAATACTGATCCAATGACTTACAATAGCAGATTTTAGTTTATAGATGTTCACGCAATTCCTATGTTTGAATTTCCGTATGAATTGTGCGTTTTTTCATTACAAACAAGTGAGTGTCGTAATTTGTCGTTAAATTATTTAACATAAAATATTCTGCAGGTTCAGAGATGAACAGTATGCAGTAAAGTAACACTCTCAATGACGTAGCAAACACTCTCAATGACGTAGTAATAGTGCTGAATATGCGCTTATTCAGTGAGTTTTGCAAGATACATTCAATCATTATGACAGAGAGGGCGTGGTACTCTATTCAACTATTGCCTGCTTGACTTTCACTCGTTTGTTCTTTTTGCGATACTTATTTACCAGTGGCGGCGGTAGCCCCCTCGAAAAAAAAAAAAAAGTGAAACCCTTCGTGTCAGCAAAATTTGCCCCTCAAAATGCAGGACATATCGATTCAGAGGGTCAAGATTTCAAAATTGTTAAGGGGAGCAAGACCTTGCACCGCCTAGTAAGGTCGCCCATTCGTCGCAAGGTTGGTGAGCATATCTCGCCCTCCCCATGCTCAATTTCGTGCCGCCCCCTCGGTTTACTCACATTATGTGCATGACCATTTTTTTCTGAGAAACCTAGCACATGTGCAACTACCACCACGCACATAGTATAACGTAATTATTAAGTAAACGAGAACACCGGCATTGTACGGTGGTCGATTTCGCCAGATGTCGTCTACATCGAGTGAACTGAATCGAAATATAACATATGTTTGGAAGTCACAATTTTATAGAATGAAGGTATAATACCCTCTCTAGTTACTTGAATTGCTGCAAATGAAATGGTGGCAGTTGAACTATTACTGTGAAACTTATATTAAATATAGGTCTAGCTATCAACCAAGATAACTTACATAAGATTTGGCTAATATATAATTATAACTATTTATCATATCCGTGATATTCCTAACTTATATTTTTTAGATCTAAACATAATGCATTCTCTGTTGGCAATACACATAATAATGGATAGATCTTACTGTTGTTTTATCTAGATAGATTATAAAACTTGACAATTTACATTGCTATTTTAACACAACAATATCAACATAGCATATAAACAGCAACGTGCTTGAATGGCTAAGCTCGACTCAACTTTCAATCACAGTTTGTCACATGCAATATCGCCCTCATCGGTAATGGTATACGTCACTATTTTTCATATAAAACCTGTGACGTTATTTTATAGGTTAAGGAATATCTGAGGAAAAATAACCCTCACAACATGCCACCCCTAATATACTAAATATATACAGTTAGATTGGTCCAAATTACCCTCCCACTATACTCATTTGATCTACAAATACGACGGATAAAACCGGACAAATCAGTTGATTTGATATATCCTTGTAATCCCCCTATCCGACACCCTTGCGGGCGTGACGTCGACGTCACTGACGGGGACAATTGCCTATGCAAACGACGTCATAGCTCGAAATAGCAATCTTCTTTTCACGACGCGTTCTGAAAAGCTTGAAGCGCCAATCATAGGTGAAAACCCATAAAAGGTAATTCGGAACTCAACAATCGAGTTTATAGTTTGAAGCGGGGGGAGTCATCACCTGCGCATGTGTCAGATGACAATAGCATGTCATTGTTTACAAGTGTCTACCCATAAGCCTTTGCGTTTTTAGCGTGTGTTGTTATCGTCGCTGAGGACTTAATTCTCGCGCGTGCGCAGGTGGCGACCCTCCCGCTTTAAATTGCTGCGACCAATGTTGATCACATGCTTCGTATACCGGTACAATGTATGTAAATACTTTGTTTACGTGAAATTCAGACGACTGTGTGATGACTGTAACCCACAGCATTGTGAATGTTGGCGCTGTGCGTGTCGACAGCGACACTTCAAATACGTGTGTTCATAAATATACATATTTGTGTTTGTAAAACTAATAGTTGTATGGGAAAACATATACTTGTGTGACTTAGAGCCTATATTTCACTTTTTAGAATTTTATGAGCAATCTTCGGCTCTGTGTTAATGACATTGACCAGAGAAATATAGTATACGTCTCTGAAAATAATATCTTGTACATCAGAGACAATTGTGAACAGTGATTTCATTAATTTGTGTCACATTGGTTGGTCGTTGAACATCTAAATAACGTTAATTTTGACTTTCGACGAAATGGTCATTCGACAAAATGGACTTTCTACGAAAGGGTCAAGCAATAGCAATGTACTATATAATTATGTTATCTTATCCGAGATTACATTCCCAATTCTAACATCCTTTAATTTGCCAATCAGCCGAAACAAACAGCATAAGTACTACAACGTTTCCGTTACAATATAATTGTTCAGCTATTGGCAGGATGACTGACTGTCCACAGTGTTAAAAAAAGTTAAAACTTAGGAGATTATTTATCATTGTGTTTACGTGACAATTTAATGGCTTGAATTATTCAACTATGTGAAAACACGCAATTTTGTCGCTATTTATTTACTGGAAAAAATAAGTAAACACAATTGTACATACACGTTTACCAACATATTGCAAAATAAACAAATTCGCTGCTGATCCATATACATTTAACCGTATGTTAAAAGTCGCTCTTCCGTGCTGCGCGGACATTATTGGCTCCATTGTAATACATATCCACGCACCATTCGCCGCTGTATAAGTTCTAGATGAAGCAGTACTTGGTGTTATCTCTAATTATACTTTCGTTGAGTTCGGCAGTAAAGGGCGTTTTGTATTGATCGAACTCAAATATGTGGGTTTGTTGCTGTCTGCCATAAATTAATCGTCGCTAATTGAATTTGCGTCGAGGTATGGCGCTGCAATACAATGTAACTGAAAATGGCAATATGCTCTTGAAAGTAGATCGTATTATACACAAGTTACATCATAAAATTTTAACTGTTTCTAACATGATCATCGTGTACACTAGGCATATTTTTGGAACCGATCATTGTATGCCCATACATTTTGTCGTTGGACATCATCTATACATAAATTGCAGCCAATGGATATTTACCCACTGTGTTTTTCTTCGGGAGATACAATATATACATCTCTGTTTGCGTTCATACAGAGTGACAGCGACGATTCCGTCTATCAGCGATCTGTATGTGATTGACCAGAAAAACTGCGCCGTCAACGATAGTCGATATGATGCGTAATGCTGCCTGGCTATGCCCGTTAGAGGACGCAGTGATGTGGAGTAAGTATCTGTCAACCTTAACAGTCACTGCCTCACGTAATATTCAGTCTCTCTTTGGAATATAAAACAATTGACGACTTGTAAATACGTACTAGTTTTACTACATCCCGTGTGTACGTATGTATC